ATACCTCTCAAGACCCGGGACGTGATTCCATTTCTTCAATGGGTAGCCAAGGAAACCATATCCTTTAAATACGAAGAGGAAAAAGGGGGGAAGGGTTCTTGGATGTTCCTGCGGCCAAGTCGTTTAGTGGCTTTGCCACTTTTTATAGCCCTCACGCAAGTTTCAGGCAACCATGGAATCTACGTAGATACGCGGAGGTACCGAGTTTCCTGAAGCGAAGCTCGGTTCTCCAATGTGTCGGGCCTCTTCGGACTTTCGCGGACGCCACTTTGAAAGGTTAGCCACGGCGAGAGGTCGAATTGGGGTGAAATTGACCCCAGATGAAAATGCGTGGACCAGGGTTTTTTCATCCAGGCGTCGACAGTTGCTGACCGAGTTCGAAACCCTTACAACTGGCAAGGATCACCTGACAATCAAACCCGGGTAGATGAAGGTAAGGGAAGATCCCAACCAAATATAGCAGCGGATATCCGCCTGAATTCTTGAGGCATGTCTGGGTGAACCTTTTTTGAAACAATCGGTTTTGAACGCTTTGGGGTTTGGAGCTGTGCCAAGCCAGGGGCTACTTCCCCAGAATTGGCTCCCCCTTTTTTTGTTTTTTGCTTTTTGTGGGGTGCCTTTGTTTTCCACTCACCAGGCAAAAAGGAGAACTTTTTGCTGGGGCTCCGATTTTTCCAGCCTAGGAAATGTGTCAACATACTGTGAATGGTTGCGAAATCCATTTCGCATCACCTAAGAGACCCTGGAATGACTTGATTCCCCTGCAAATACAAAAGCAAATCGTGGTTTCGACCATGGTATCATTTCGTTGCGACGATCATTCCCCTGCAAGTACCAGCAAATCATGGTATCATTTCGTGGTGAAATCGAACGGATTTCGCAACCATCCACAGGACCCTGGGCCCCACTGTCCGAGGCTGCCAAAGGCGCGAGCCGCCTGGGCTCCTTCAACCGCAGCGGCAGCGCGGCACAGATCCCCGGCGGCGAGTGAGGAACATTCAGATTTCAGGGACTGGAGCTTCTTAAGATATATATATATATATGTATACATATGATTTTGCTAAGTCCCCCATTAGCGCCCTTTTACCAACTTTTTTTTGGGGAGGTTCCCCTACTAAAATAGACAGAACAGAGAAAAGAAGAAACGGCACCCTTATTCTAACCTCTCAAATCTGGAGGACCGAGTTTCGGGTTTTCGGCGAACACCTTCACTGTTGGGTCACGTACTCTTCAGTTGTTTTTTGTTTTACTAGGGGCAACCAGACAGAGTTGTGTGCTTCCAGGCAACGGCAACGGCAACGGCAATGGCACCGGCAGCAACAGCAACAGCAACAGCAACAGCAACAGCAACAGTAACAGTAACAGTAACAGTAACAGTAACAGTAACAGTAACAGCAGCAACAGCAGCAGCAGCAGCAACAGCAACAACAACAGGACTGCAATTTTCAACATACGGGGTTTGTTGCGTGTTTCTATCGATCAGGATTCGCGATACACCGACATGGGTCATGCTTAACTTGTTCAGTCCCTGGCCGGGCGTGTGCATCCCAAAGGGATGCACTCCGCGCAACTCCCGCGCAACTCGCGACATTTGTTGCGGTGCTCGACTCGTATCATGTGCCAGAAGACCTTTACCTGTTTGACTGCTCTCCTTTCCAGCCTGTCCAGGCAATTGTTTGCGAGCCATATTGGGAGAACATGGTTTACGGAAAAATATGTTACAGGTCGGAACAATTTGGAGAACATGGTTTCTTGGGAAACATATTTGTATGTTATGTTCCATGTGTTTTCTTCAAGGGGTCGGAGGAGTTTGGCCCAGATCTGTCCCTTTTCAGCCGAAACATGCCAACCTCTGGTCCGACCTCACAAAGCACTGGCCTTCCGATGTTTGGATTTTTCCGGGATCCCCAAAATACTCCGCCTCAAGATGCCTCAAGGACATGTGTTCGGGTGGAATGGGGGCTAAGGCTAAAACCCTGGAACGCCTCAAGGACATGTATTGGATTGGTTGAATGGGGGCTAAAACCCCACGAAGGCGACCCATAGAAATGAAGCAACAAGGTGAAGACTTCTCTCTGAAACGAAGGCGCCCCTACTGTGGATGGACGAAATCCGTTCGCACCACTTTGAAACCATGGTTGAAACCATTGTTTGTTGGTATTTACAGGGGAATCATCATGCCAGGGTTTCTTAGGTGGTGCAGGATATCGTCCATCCGCAGTATTAAAACGAAACCTCCAGAGGTGTTCCATTTTTGCGGCTGCTAAGCTCATTTTTGTCTTTGGAGGGGAGCTGTTCAAATCAACCAGTGTGCCAATGTGTGCACATCGGGTGACACACCAATAGCTTCAGGTGACAAGACGGGTTATAGTATATACCTGGAGTCTCCATGACCCTTTAAAAATAGGTCCATGACCCCATTATTTAGGGCACTGACCCCATTTTTAAAGGGTCATGGAGACTCTAGGTGGTCATCAACTTCTTTGAAGGCAGTGTCGCTTGAGATGTCCAAGACCAAATATGGAATCCCATGCCACGTGAGTTTTTCTTGATTTGTGGAAATGGTTGAAGCTGGTTGGGCATGGGATGTTTTAAGGTCTAGATCATCAGGCTTCCTGAGAGTCTCATGCTGACACGGCAGCTTCCTTCCCTAGGTGTTTTTTTCCAAGACATCCAAGGGATTCACGGATTTACCAGCTTTCGAGGGAGTCCACCGGATCTGAGCTCTTAGTGCATTGCTGTTTTGTCTTTTTCGCGGCCCCCGGAAGTTGATCACTTTTTGTGGGTTGCAGTTTGCCAAGGGATGTTAGGACTTCAACTTTTTGCCAACTAATGGGTTTCCAATAAACCACAAAAACATAGAAACTTTTGGGGGAGCAGATTTCGCAACCGAGTATTTCGTTTTCAGGTCCCAGGCATAGCTTGGGTCGTTCCATGCTCGGTACTGCAAATATAGCTCCGATCAGCTCCGGTGGGGTGGTCCGGCCGCCTGTTGGGGGTGCTGGTAATGTTTTGTTGGGTCATGTGGCTATGGGTCAAAACCGTTTTGGGATCCCATTTTGGGGGGTAGGTGCACCACCCAGTTTACCCAAATTAGAACCCAGATTGGGGATTGGGATGTTCACTGGGGGCTAGCCCGGATTTTGACCCATGGCCATATGCTCAGTCGCCCAAAGCGTTCGACTGATGGAGCTTTCTTTTTCTTTTCTGGGGTCCTTTGGACAACTGAGTTGTATCCGAAAGCGTCCAACGAGATTCCGGGTTCCTCTGGGTGTCCCCAGGTCCCATCAACGTGACCAAAGGACAACCCCGCATCCGTGTTCAATGGACAAAGCGTCCTGAGCCATGCGCGATGGAACTCAAAAGATGGGCGCCGGGAGTTCTGGGGGAGTGGTCAAGGTGCCCCAAGGATCTGAGTGGTGTTCCTCGTCGGTTGAAGTCAGCACCTCTCGTTTCATGCTCTGGACAAACCCTGAAAAGCCGAAGAAAAGGGAAAACCCGACTCTCTGAGGGAAAGGTAGCTGGAAACCGAAAAACATAGGCTGGAAACCGAAAATCATCGCTGAGAGACGAAAAACCGTACTCCTTGAGGGGAAAGATAGTGGGGAGTTGAAAGCTCTCTCGTCCCAACGGCTGTCTTGGTGGCCAAAAATTGGCCGCACGAAAACGAAGGAAGAACACCTGCTCACATAAATCCATCAGGGTGTTTTGTTCGGATGGCCAACGACCCTTATGGATTCCTGAATTGGGAGGGTAAGAGGATTGTTCTCAGAATCGGAGACCGTTTTTTTCAAAATGCATTTTGGGTTTTCCTGTTGGTTTCCCATTAAAGCAACCCGCAAAGGCTACTATCAAAAAGACATACCCATTTAGTTGGACAGTTGATTGTTTGGTTGCATCTTTTGCGGAAACCTGCAATTCTGCTTGGTGAAGTCTAGTCATCGGTGCCCATCTGAGTAAGGGGTCACTGAAGATGGGTTCTAATCCTGAGAATCTTTCCCTCAAGAGTTGCCTTGAGGTCCCACACCGGGTGTCGCTGAAAGGCGCAGGCCTTAGAGAAACGAGCCAAGGACCTTTGTGATTCAGAAACTGCCCATCTGGTTGGGCCAAAATGTCCTTTGTTGCTCCATTTGGAGAGGGGGGGGGGTGCAAGGGCGACATTTCCAAGCAGCTAGGGGGCGCACGGATTTCTGATTGTCGACGCTCTTTGTGAGAACTGTATGTATATATATATATATATGTCTGGTCATGAATTCTCCCTGGCTCAGGAATGTCGGTTCTGAAAGTATGGACGTTAGACACTTTTCTGGCTTGAACCACAGCAGATGTTTGGCTGATCCACTTAGGAGCTGGCCTCTTGTGGATGGTTTTAAGGAGCCGACACAGCTGCCGCCGCCGTCAAAGGCTCAAAGGTCCAGGAATCTGATCGTGGCAGTGATGCTCACCTGCAACCTAAAGCGAATCGACAGGATCTGAGCTTTTGGTTCCTATTTGTAGTATTCCATTTGCTGTTTCTATTTTTCGTTGTTGGATTTACACGGAATTGATCACTGCTGGACACATGTCCCCATTTGCCTAGGGGGTGCGCCAAATTTGGTGATCACCTTGCATTTCGGGTGGCCGAAATCACCTGGCTCTTCGCCAGAATCCCTGAGCCTTAGAGAGACACCCCCCGCCCTTACCTCTTAAAAACACAACTTTTCAACTTTTTGGGGTAACATTGGGCTATATGTCTGAAGAAGATGAGAACTTCCCCAGGGCGCAGGGAGTTTTAAGGGGTAAGTCAACCTATGGGTGTTCCCTTTGGTTTTTCCTTTGGTTTTCATAGCAAGTATTTGTCGCTGGGTGGCTTTCCATGAGCCAGAAGCTCGTGCCAGAAAAGGATAGAAGTTCAGCAAGCGTTCAGTGACGCGAAAAGGACCAGGAGTCTTGTGGTGCATTCCTGGGTTTGATCATGGCTCCCTTTGGTCAGCGACCAGCTCGGCAATGAAAGAGGCTGGGCTGACTTTCGGTTATCTGAGATTCGGGCGCTCCGGCGCTTGAGCGCCGTGGAAAGGGTCGATGCTTCTGTGCACATGGAACCTGGGCTGCAAAGATGCGGAAGCGCCCAAAGCAGGCTTGAGGGTGGGAATGGCTCGGTTTGGATTAGATCTAGTCCTGTTGGATTTCAAGAGCTACGAAGAGACCCTTCTTGGGATCCAATTTTACCATGGCACCTGTGAGAGGTACCAAGATGAATTTCCTTTTGAAGGGACCCCCATCTTTGGGAGGGAGGGTTTTTGGGATTGTTTGTGTAGCCGTGGAGCTCCTTCAGCGGAAAAATGGGTTGGGGTCGTTGACCTTGGGGTTTCCAATGCTGAGGTTCTCTTCCCTCCAAGTGTAAGTTTCGTATTGCCAAGACTTTTTTTTGTTTAATTCCTGATACTCAATTATTGTTGCCATTTCAGAATTGAGTATTGCCAAGATTTCTCTCAGATTCCCCATGCTTAATATCATATTGCCAATTCGATCTTGAATGTTGCCAAGACTTTATCTCGGATTCCCCGTGCTTGCTTGAGTGTTGCCAATTCTCATTTATCTTGCTAAGACTTTATCTCAGATTCCTGGTACCTAGTGCCTGGTAAACTCGGTGTTCCCAGTGGATCCCGGCTGTTACCATAGTCGGCCATTTGCCTTTTGGTTTAACAGGGCTCCTTAAAAGATCTCCATTTTGCAACCATTTGAAACATGTTGCTTTTTCAACACCAAAATCAAGTTGGAAACCACCATTTACAAGTTGCAATGTTCAGGTGTATCCCTGTTTAAGGGTGCCTGCGAGACCACATGGAACTGAACTATCGACGTCTCGACCTGGTGCCAAGTGAACTTTTTTGCAGCTTGCTAGGTCCCCCAGTGCCAAGGCTTTTACCAACTTTTTTGGGGGGAACCCAACCCCCCTACTAAAATAGACTACAGAAAAAGGGTACCAACTTATTCCAACCTCTCTGTTGGAAGACCTAGTTAGTCATGACCCCAGAAGGTTAACTTACAATTCCAGGCCCTTTCAGCAACTGAGAGGTACGACTGGCTGGTTCTTAGCAGGATCGCAAAGGAGACAATTTAGCCATTTAACAACCTTACTCCCTGAGTTCATGGGCAAGTAGCAACTGCCGGTTTTTTGCGACGCTAGATGCTAGAAGCCGACGCCTTGAGAAGCATCACCACGTAACCATCCACATGCGCCGCATTCACCAGAACGCGACTGGTGGAGGTGTTTGCGGTCGGATCTGGAAGGAAGCGGCGCTGCGCGCGTGTTTTTCCGTGAATCATGACGCTGGATCAGTGCACCTCGCGTGCAAACTGTGGTGGAGGTTGTTTAGTTTCAGATTCGGAATCCAACATTTCAGTTTTCGACTTGCACAAATTGCAGAGCCATCCAAGCATGTGGCCATTCCTGTCCGATCCACTTTCTTTTTTTTTTGGGGGGGGGGGGGGGAAATTCCTAATACGAGCTTTGTATACTCCACGTTAGCAACTCACGGTGTGGCAGCAACACGCCGATGCTTTGGGAGAAGGGAAACCGCCCAATGTGACATCCACTATCCCGTCTTCCGAATTCCTTCGGGTGGAATTCCTTTTAGCTTCCCTAAACCGACTCGAGAATAGTAGCACCCAACGCAGAACCCGATTTGGAAATTCGCACCAGCTAGTAGGTGGTTTATCCATGTTTATTCCATCATTTCTCATGTTTCATCTCTCCCAAGTGGTGCGATTGATGGATTTCGCCAGTTTTGGCTTCATGGTTCCCAGCCATCACCGGTTTTTACATCTTGGGGTTGAGGGGTGTCCACGAAACCCACGAAAAGTTACGCTTTGAGCAGATCCGAAACGGACCGCCCAGCTAACTCGGAACTAGGGTGTCGTAAGCCATTTGGAGGTCGTCCGAATCCCTGCCCAACTCCAACTTCAACTTCAACTTTTAGGGTCGAAAACCAAAAACCAATCGGAACACCATACGAAATAAAAATTGATGGATTAACATATTTTCCGTTTGGTTGCCCTAAGCCGCAAAAACGAGGTACGCGCAACAGCAGACATGAAGGATAGTTTGGGCTCCTGGCTTCCATAAAAACAGCACCTACAAAACTTGGTGGTTCCCAGCCATCCCCTTAGCTTTTTAGCCTTTTAGTGTTTAGTGGGGATTTCCTTTGAACCCACTAAAAGTAAGTCAAACTTTCAGCGGGGGATCTGAGAACGGACAGCCCAGAAAAGGGGGGTGCCAACTCCAGAAAAAAACGAGGCCTCCGTTGGTTTGGTCAGCCGACCGACTTCAGGCGCTTTCAAGTGGCTGGGCGATCTCTGCCAGCGCCTGAAGCCCGAAATCCTGGCACTGGGATTGCAGGACTCATGCTGTTCAGCCAAGCCCCGACGCGCTGGGGAAAAAACAAAAAAGCGGTTCTCGGTGTGAAATGAACTCCCTTAGCAACAAGGGAAAATCAAACCATACTCTTAACCCAGACGCTCCAACTCGATTCCTTTTGGGCCAAGCCACCAGGATCAGAGACCCCAACACCTTTTTTGGGGTGTCCAACTGAGGGTCTCAGGAGCCTGTTTGGGGTGTTGGGAATGAAGCGGCTTGGGATTCCCGGAAGCGTGGGTTAGTTGTTGGGAAGCAGGTTTCAATCATTCTTGCTTATGGTGGCTTAGTGGTTGAAATCCAACCACTGAACTGCTAAAATTTCAAGTTTTTGATCCAACCACTGAACTGCTAACATTTCAAGTTTTTGCTCCCCAAACCCAAGGAAAGGAAACCAGTTGGATTGGTTATAGGGGACCATTCCCTCCCAGCTGAGCACCGGCCCTTAGGCAGTTCACAGGCCTAGGGGTTGAAGTCCAAGGGGTTGGTTGCCCCGTTTTTGTTTTTTGGCACTGTCCGAGTTTCTGGACTCTTTTTTCTTGGGGGGGAAGACCATGTTAGGGACAGGTTTGTCCAATGTCCAAATTCCGAAGTGTACAGAAATAGGTCGTTGTGTGGAAAGGATGAACTTTTTATAGACACATTTGGGTGGTGCGCTTAGTTGCTACTGCTTGTTGGGCTTAGCGAGAAGCCTGTGTTGAACAACCAAAGCTTTTTTGAGGGCTTTCCCTATTTTGGGGACGCCCCAATCAATCCCAATATGTGTATCCCTGGTTTTAGGGATACAAGGTGGTGGAAATCTTCGTCTGTGCATGGGAAGCTCAAAGAAGCATGGCGAAGACTTGAGCCAACAAGTTTGGCTCAGAAGGGGCGTAGGAGGCGAGGTATAGGGGTCAGGGCTAACCACCTGCTACCCCGGAGAGTCGACTCTCTTAGCTGCAATCTCAATTTTCCGCCCCCCCAAACCCTCGGAATTTCAGTGGTTCCAATGTTTCCCTTGGAAAGATGCCATCTGCCTATATGGCACGCTGGGGGTTAAGACGATTTGGAAACTGTCAATTCCTGGCTTGTCTTCGCGACCCCAACAAGAATCGCCCGTTAGACAGACCTTCTGGGTATACAACTTGTTTTTCCACACCTACCTGGGGTACCTGTTGCATTTCCCTGTATAACCAAGGAGACTGCCCTTAAAAAACCAAAAGGAAATTGGCGAAGGGTTTAACGGTTACCTACTACAGTAGCTTGCCTCGGATTCAGGCTCAGGCCTTTTGCAGACATTCGCAGAGAATTTGGGGGGGGGAAAAGGACCCCCAGTTAGACCCGGCCTCTCCCGTCCGTCAGATGGCATTGTTTCCCATACCCCCCCCTACACTTTTGGGCACATTCTGAATACGCCCACTAAAACAACCCATTTTCAACATTCAAATCCAATCACCCAACCAATCCAACACCAAAAAACACATATTCACATACCCATCTTCATTTCTTACCCCATCTCAACATCACCCCTATGCTCATTCAATAACAACAATCAGAACTACATACCACCTCAACAAATCCCACCAAAAAAATCCAAGCTACATACCAACAACTGTTCATTCCCTAACGACTGAAGAAGGATGACAAATTACCTAACGGTCGTAAAAAATGACTTCGTGTTCCGTCGGTGTTTTGAAGATTGGCAAATAAACGACGAGAAGATAAATCAATATATGTGTTGTCTTCTCCTGATATACGAAATCTAATATGTTTGTTTCCTGCATTTGGATTATAAACAATACTGCCTGATGGAAAATAATTAACGTGTCTTCTGTCTGTGATGTATTGTGCTGTTTCTGGAAGTCCAAAATTTAACGAGTTAATCATTGTAGTTTCACTTTCTGCAATTATATTATCCATTACTTATATATGATAAACTTAGAGTTTTATATTTTTTAAGTATTTTTCTTATGTGGAAGCATTGTAGTAGAATTATTTGAAGTTGTATTTTTTATACTATTTATTAAATAAGTATTTTTTGTATCAACTATATCTTTTATAGTATCATAATCTAAATTATTATATTGTGTATCATAGTTTGTAGGTTATTTTGTCAGTTTCTTCTCTAATGGAATTTTGTTTTGTTTGTCTTTGTTTCTATACATTATAATATTATTGGTATTTATTGTTCTGGTGCTGAATTAGGGTCAATCCCGGTAGAAATATCAGTAGTAGGATTAATTTCAGTCATACCTTGCTCTGTCCAATTATTGAAACTGTGTTTATCTAATAAGTTGTTGCTTTCTATTTCTCCAGTTATCGCGGCGTCATCAAACATTGCTATTGGGTCTCCACGATTTCTAAATCGTAAGTATCGCGGGTTTTTCTGTTGATTAATTCCTGATACAAAAGGTGATGAATAAACAGTAGTTGCATAACTGTTTCCGTGTCTATTGTTGATTTCTTGAACAACGGACGAGCCGAGGGAATGGCCGACCAGTCTATTCACATCCGGATTATTACTTAATTTTTCCATTGCGTCTTTATATCTTTCGCTTAATTGAACATTATGAGTAGGAATAAAAAACACATCTGCAATGACATCATTGACTTTGTGATTTACCCCCGCTTTAGCACCAGTGCCACCAATATATAATGTGTTGCCTATTCTTGTTATTCCATTCACAGTTGAATACGCGGCGTCTAAACCCTTGACATCATCAATTGTATCTTTATTTTGAACGTTGATTTCTTCGGCATAGCGTGTTTTATGTTTCATTATTTGCTTATCAAAATGTTTATTGAAACCTCCTATTGTGTCTTCCAATTTCTTTTTATGGTTAAAAAATACATCTTCTAATAAATCCTTACCTGCCGTGTATGCCTTATCGCTTGCTACACCTGCCATTATTTTGTGTGGGTGTCCTGCCTTCAATAGCACCTAATAGTAATTGTCGTCCAATCATATAATAATAATTATATTATAATGTCTATTGTATATTATATTTATGAGTGATAGATTAACATATATATTTTAAAAAACATCTATGTTGATAGTGCCTACAGATTGCAAGAAAGCAATTCTACCAGTGACTTTATTATAGAACTTGATCAAAACTTTGAAATTCCACCAAGAACAAAACTGTTCGTGACAGAGTGTTCATTCAGCACTCCGTTTTATACAACAGAGAAAGGGTTTTACGAACGCTTCTATATTTTGTTGTATAATAGTTCCAATGTCTTATTAAGAAGCACTGCCGTTGATGTATCCGGCGAAATTTATTATGCTAATCAATTATCATACAAACTACAAACGGAGTTAAACGCGGCATTCAACGATATTACACCTGACTTAGTCTTAACAGTATATGGACAAAGCGAACGCAAAATGGAACTTAAATTACATGACCCTATAAATTACAAAATCAAAATACCTACAGATGAAGAATTAGAAACTTATGTAAATGACAAATGGGACAGAGAACAGTTTGAATATGACAACCTGAGACCAAAGTCTATTAATTATTTATTAAGTAAATTATATTGCCTACGAACCTGCGACATCTTGGCTAAGTGGCTATTTCAATTTAGTTCCTTTTCAGAATATATTTATATATATATATAAATCGTCCTCAATTAAGCGATTATACATATTCAGCACCTAATAATTTCAGTAGTTCGGAAATTAACATATTTCAAATCAATCAACAACTTGGCGGAGTCATAACAGATTTTACAGCGCCCATATACGCAGATTTTATTGATGTAGGCGGTAAACATATTAAGAGACTACACTTTAGTATAACAACTTCAAGAAACGAATTAATTGATTTTCACGGCGTTCCCATTTCTTTTAGCATTCTTTTTCAATTAGATAATTGAATAAACCCCTAATTATTAGTATTAATATCAAATTATTAATATTAATATTTCTCAATTTTGTCCATATAGACAAAATATATAAAACAATATAGACAACATATATATGATATTATATATGTCAGAAGTTGAACCTGAAATTACTAATACAATGGAAGCAGACGAACCAGTAAATGAGTTACCAATTGAAGAAGAAGCACCAAAGGCAGAACCAATAATAGAACCAACACGAGAAATAAAACCAGTCGAACCGTTAAAACACAACTCAAAAACTCAAGCACGCAATGAACAGAAAATAACCTGTCCAAAATGTGCCAAAACTTTAACACTAAAATCATACAGATACAGCCACGAACGCAATTGCCAAGGACCATTAGAAACTAAACCTATAAAACCTAAACCAAAAGCAGTTCCAATAGCAAAACCTCAAAGGATAGAATATTACGAAGAAAATCAACAACCACGCGAAGCGATGCAACAACCACAACCGCAACAAAATAATATAATAGCGAACACCCCGCCCCCAAGAAGAACGCAACCACAACCGCCTCCAAACCCGCTACAAAATATAGCACATTACCAATTATTGCAAAATGAATATTTGAGACAGAAGCAAGAAAAATACAACGCATTAAATAAAGGTATATTTGGTTCAAGGGGAAAGAAAAGATAAAATATAATTATTATATAACCTACTATATAATAATTATGTTTTCAACATTATCACTGGACGGCTCACACATAATTATAGCAAGTGAATTAGTATTAATAAATTCAACAGAACCATCAACTCTAAGCAGTGTTTATGCTACGAAACAAGAATTAGCAGATACAGCAGGTTCATTAGGTGGAGGTTATACTACTGAAGAAGTAGATGCACTGATATTAGGACAGAAAAAAATAGATGCAAACATTACAGCAATACCAGGAATTAACGCAACATCAACAACAATGTTTAACGAACAAGTAAATCAAAACACAACAATTACAAGCAACCTTAATATAACAGCACACGGATTAACCATAACTTCAATACTACCGACTATATCAGCAAATACAATTAAACTTGACACAAATGCTAATAATAATAGTTCTAATACCTTTTTAATTAGTGGTTTTAACAATAG